CTCGGCCTCTGGAGCCACTGCAATTATACTTGTGCACTACCATGCCCAGCCTTAGTTCTTTATCGTTACTGAGGGTATCACTAAATTGCTGAGGCTGATCTTAAATTTACCATCCTCCTGAGTAACTGATTACAGGAATGTACCATCATGCATAGCTTGATGGAAATATTCTTACCAATGTATTAGCAATTCAAGTCTAGTGATACATAAAAAGCCATTACCAATTTGGGTTTACTCTGGAAATGCAAAATTTTTTAACATTCAGAAACCAATGGTGTAATTTCCCATAATAACAGAATGAAGGAAAAAAAAAAACATGATTCTTAAATAGATGCAGTAATTGCTGGTCACATTGGTATGAACCTGCAGTCCCAAGAGTCTGATGGGGGAGGCTCTCGAGCCTAGGAGTTGGAGGGAGAGACCACATCTAGTCTCAAAATAAATAAATAAGAACATGGAACCTTCAAACAAAATTGCCTACTTATCAAAATATAATTAAAATATTAAAAACTTGGAAAATTAAAATTTTAAAGAAAGAATCTCCTTAAATTTTGTTCTACAGAATGACAGTAATGTGGTAAAAAGATAAAGGGAAGAGAATATTTTGTGGTCAGGTAAATTTGGTACATATTGTGATGAAAATTCTAGATTCCTCTGAACTTTATATATCATCCCTGCATAGTTTTGCGGTGCTTTTGAACTTATTTTATAGCCAAATTTTATTTTTACATAGAACATCTATGTTATAGGTTGGATCTGGAATGTCTCCCAAAATGCATGTGTTGAAGATATGGTCCTCAATGCAGCAATGACAGAGGTAGAGCTGTTGGGAAGGAATTGGATCATGGGGGCTCTAACCTCATCAGTGGGTTAACCCATTTGATGAATTAATAATTTGAATTGAATGTTGGGAGGAGGTGGAAACTGTAGCAGGTGGGGTCTAATTAGAGGAAGTAGGTCACTGGGGGCAAACTTGTGGGACCACATTTTGTCCTCAGCTTCTCCCCCTCCTTCTCTGTTTCTTAGATTCCATGAACTGAGCAGCTTTCTTTCTCCCCTCCTTTCTGCCATGATATTCTTTCTGCCTCACCCCAGACCTAAAGCAGCCACAAGAATTGAAGCCTCTGGAATTCTGAGTCAAAAGAAACTTTTCCTTCTTTAAAATAAAAAAGAGAAACAAAGAAGGAGCCAAGCACAGTGGTGCATGCCTGTAATCCCAGTAGTTTGGGAGGCTGAGGCAAGAGGATCATAAGTTCAAAGCCAGCCTCAGAAATTTAGTGAGGCCCTAAGTAACTCAGCAAGATCCTGTCTCAAAAAAGAAAAAGGGCTGGGGATGTGGCTTAGTTGTAGAGTACTCCTGAGTTAAATTCCCAGTACCATAAAATAATAAGAAAAAAGAAAAAAAAATAGCCTGAGATGTATTTGAGGCAGAGGGTATGCTAAGAATTGAATCAGGAGGGTTCTTTTTTAGTGGAGGGGGTACTGGGGATTGAACATGGGGGCACTTGACCACTGAACCACATCCCCAGCCCTTTTTTGTATTTTATTTAGAGACAGGGTTGAGTTGCTTAGCAGTCTCACAGTTTGCTTAAGCTGGCTTTGATCCTTCTGTCACAGGTCTCCAGGCTCTGGGATTACAGGCATGTGCCACTGCGCCCGCCCTCCAGTTCTTTTTATTTTTTATTTTGAGRCAGGGTCTTGATATATAGCCCAGGCTGAACTTAAACTTGGGATCCTCTTGCCCCAGCCTCCTGAGTTGCTGTAATTACAGGCATATGCTACTGTCCTTGGTAATTTGGGATGTATAAACAAATAAAAAAGCTTCAAGCAGAAAAGAAAACAGTTGACAGTGAATTAATATTTGGCAATAAAGCATATACTATTGCAGATGCACCAAAAAGAAAGAAAAAATAGATAAGCAACTCCCTTCCCTTACACGCCCCCCCCCCCAAAAAAAAAAGAAAGAGAACAACAACTTATTATTCAGGGTTTGGCAAAAATGTTTTAGGTCACAAAAGACAAAAAGCATAGAAGAAAAATGGATAAATAAGAATACATAAGGAAAAAATAAAACCAGGAGGCTGAGGGTGTGTCCTAGTGGTAGAGTGCACATACAAGAGACCCTGGGTTCAATCCTCAGCACCCTCCCAAAAAAGCATACAAATGCCTAAATACCTTGTTAAGAATATAAATAGGCAATTAGGTGTGGTGGTGTATACCTTTAATCTTACCTACTCTGGAGGCTGAGACAGGGGAATTGAAAATTGGAGGCCAGCCTTAGCAATTTAGCAAAGCCCTCAGAAACTTAGCAAGATCCTGTTTCAAAGTTGAAAATAAAAAGAGCTTGGGGTGTATCTCAGTGGTAAAATATTCCTGGGTTCAATACCAGTACTAGGAAAAAGAAAAAATCTGAATAGGCAACCAATAGACTAAGAGAAATTATTTGCAAAATGTATACCATAAAGCCTTGTAGCCATAATTTATAAAGTAGTCCTGCAACTCAATAATAAAAGGGCAATTCAATTTTTAAAAAATAAGCAAATGATTTAAACAAAGGAATAGTTTACAAAGGAATATATGCAGGGGCTGGGGATGTGGCTCAAGCGGTAGTGTAATCGCCTGGAATATATGCAAATGACCAGGGACATGATAAAGTACCTGATTAGTGATTGGGAAATGTAAATTAAAACTAAAAAGATTGACAGTATCAAATGTTGTATGGGACATGGAGAAACTGATTCTCATATGTTGTTGGTAATATAAAATGTTATAATCACTTTGGTTAAAGTCTAGCAGTTTCTCATTATCATAACTATAAACTTATTCATGATCTAGATATTCACCCAAGAGAAATAGGAGTTTATGGCCATAAAAAAACTTATATAGGAATATTAGTAGCAAATTTATTCAACTTGGTAAAATACTACAGTGCTAGTGTCCATCTACAGGATATTGACCAAGTAAATTGTGGTATATTCATTGAATTCAGCAATAAAAAGAATCAAGCTGCTGATTCATTTTTAAAAATATAGATGAACAACAAAAACATGCTGAGAAGCCTGACAAAGAATTGTATATACTGTACATAGGGTGTGCTTGCATTTATGTGAAGTTTTAGAATAGACAGATTTAATTTCTGGTGAATAATAATAAGTTTAATGATTGCCTCTTCATAGGGATAGGCATGGGAACTGGCATGGGGGAACTTTTTGGGATGATAATAACATATCTTAATAAAGATATGGCAATTTGAGATGTATAGACAAGAGAACTGCTTATCTATTTGGGTTATACACTTGTATTTGTCAAAATTCATCAAATGGTGCATATGAGATTTGTGTATTTTATATAAAGTTTAAAATTTACATAAAAGGCATAAGAAGGGATATAGCTCAGTTGGTAGAGTGCTTGCCTCAAATGCACAATCCCAGCATCACAAAAAAAGAGAGCTATAAACAAATATTGAACTTTAGTTCATAATTACACTGAAGTATTTAGGTATGAAATGTAATGCTGTTTGCACTTTTGAAATGCATTAAACTTGAATTCATGGATATGGAGAGATGAATGAATAGATATACATGTGACAAATCAAAGACAGAAAAAATAATAATTGTTTATGGCTGTTTATTATAAAATTATAACTTTTCAGTACCTTTTAGAATTTTCATTATAATCTATTGAGGAAAAAGGAATGAATATCAGGGAGGCAAGACTGGAAGGAACCAGTACCGTTATATTTCCAGCTTAGTGACTACAGTTAATGACTATAAATTGGAGGGATTGTGCTTGGGAACCAAGGCTTCAGCATGTTCTAAGTTTGTGTTCTACCACTGAGCTAAGCTCTCCAGTTGAAGACAATTAATTTTTCTTTTTTCTTTTTGTTTCTGGCTCTAGGGATTGAAACAGGAGGCTCTACCACTGAACCACATCTCCAGTCGTTTTTTTATTTTTATTTTGAGACAAACTTGCTAAATTGCTGAGGCTGGCCTGGAACTTGAGATTCTCCTGCCTCAACCTCCTAAATTGCTGGGATTACAGGTGTGTGCCTGGCCAAGGTTAACAGCTTTTTAAAATGGGAGAATACCGTGGTGGCGCAAGCCTGTAATCCCTGCAGCTTGGGAGGCTGAGGCAGGAGAATTGAGAGTTCAAAGCCAGCCGCAGCAATTTAGTGAGGCCCTAAGTAACTTAGTGAGACCCTGTTTCTAAATAAAACACAAAAAAGGACTGTGGATGTGGCTCAGTGGTTAAGCGCCCCTGGATTAACTCTCCAGCACCCCCCACTCCCCCAAAAAGGAGATATATGGGACTGTTAGTACAGTATGGCAGCAAACCAATAGCGAGGGTAAGATTGATGGTAAAAGAGAATGAGGAAACAATTGATGAAGTAGCATCCTTCAAAATGCTGGAGGCCTTGAGGTTCTGAGTTCAAGTGAAATGATGGCCCATTGACAGGAGGAACACTTTAATTAAACGTGGAAAGAGGTTATGAGACAGGCAGATAGTAGCAGTTTTTTGGATTCAGTCTTGGCATGATGAGTCAGTTCCTATCTGATTGTTTCTATTTTTCTCTGAATTTTTCATTTGAAAAAGGAGAAGTTGTTTCTCCATGAATGCAAAATTCCCAAAGCCAACACCTGGTTTGGGCCATTTCTAAATGGTTCTGTTCAAACGAAAAGCAAGAGTTGGGCATGGCTTGGGGTGTCAAGAGCGTGGTCAGGGCACGTAGTCTTGGCCAGATATGAGGATTTACACTTTTCCAAGCCTTAAGTTAGGGAGCAAAGATGCAAGAGGCCTGAGTCCGCCAGTTGAGGCACTCCACTTTGAAAGCCCYGGGCGCGCGAGGGGCGGCCCCGCGCAGGTCACTTGGGACCTCGGCGGGTCGGCGCATGCGCGTGGTGCCGCGCAGATTCGCGCTTCTTTATAGCTTCGGAGATTTAAGGGTGGTTTCTGGTGCCCAGGGCTTTACCTTGTGGCTGTATGCGGTCCCCGAGCCGAGGATGGAGCAGCTAAACGAACTGGAGCTGCTGATGGAGAAGAGTTTCGGAGAGGAGGCTGCGGCGCCAGCGGAGCTGTGAGCGGAGCGGGGCGGGGGTGGGAATTTAGCGGGAGATTTAAAAGAAAGACGCGGGAGAGGCCACATCTGTGCCTCTGCCGGCTGAGCCTGGCAGCCGACTGTCTGCGGGCTGCGACCGAGGGGCCAGGTTCAGCTCCGCCCGCGCCTGGAGAGGCTCCGGAGCTGGGGACCGCTGCGCAGGGCTTTTGGGAGAGCCACATTGGGCCTTTGTGTGGACTGGCGYCCTGCAGTCATTCTTTCCCTTGAGTTCACCTCTTTCCCGAATATGGGGAGTTTCGGGCACCTGAAATGCCTTCCTAAAAGGAAACTTAAAGTGTCTGATGTTGAGTTGGAGGAATTTATCTCGGGAAGGAGTCTGCATCCTCAACTCTCTGGTCGGGGAAACTTCACGATCATGAAAGGGAATTATTTTAAGTAGTAATAGCAAAAAAAAAAAGATAAATTATTGAGAGATATTTGCATTAGGGGTTTTGATCAGCATTACTTTTTTTTTTTTTTTAATTGGGGTTAAGCCAGGGACACTGAACTAAATCCCAAGTCCCCCCTCCCTTTATTTTTTGTTTTAAGACAGGGTCTCTTTAATTTGCTTAGGGCCTCGCTAAGTTGCTGAAGCTAACCTTGAATTTGTGATCCTCCTATCTCAGCCGCCTGAGTCGCTGGAATTACAGGCCTGCGCCACCAAGCTTGGCTCACCAGTACCTTTTGAGAGAGCTTTTAGGCTCTGCATCCCACTTTGGATATTAATTAGTCTGAGCTAGATGGGGGAGTTGAGTAAACAAAATGATAGAGTGTACAGTCTGGGTGACAAAGATACAGTATTGTGAAAGACATTTGGTGTAATTGAAAGAGAGAATGACTTTGAACTCCTGCAGTCTGACAGAAAAGACTTATGAGGAGAAGGTCCTTTTCCAAAGAAGTTATTGTCCATGATTTCAGATAGCTTGGACCAAGGATAAAGTTATTTTGAAATGAACTTTCCCATTATAAAACAAATAAACTTATGAATTACTCTATAAAGGAATTTAATACTTAATACTCGGGTATTAAGAGGTAGAGTCTCAATGTTTTGCTCAGGCTGCCAGGAACTCCTGGGCTCAAGAAGTCCTCTTATCTCAGCCTGGGAGTAAGTGGGATTAGTAGTGGTGCCACCCAGTTTATTTATTTTTTTTGGTGGGGGGTGGGCACCAGGGATTGAACTCAGGGGCCTCACCACTACCCACATTCCAGCCCCCTATTTGGATTTTATTTGGAAACCGGGTCTCACTGAGTTACTTCGCACTTGCTTTTGCTGAGGCTGGCTTTGAACAAAATTGTGATCCTCCTTCCCCAGCYGCCTGAGCTGTTGGGATTACAAGTCTGCACCACCATGCTGCAGTTTATTCTTTTTAAAAATATTTTTAAATTGTAGATGGACACAATACCTTTCTTTCTTTCTTTCTTTCTTTCTTTCTTTCTTTCTTTCTTTCTTTCT